ATGATAGATAACACAGTGCTGTACACAGTGTCCTCCAAAATTATTGAGACAAGAGTTCAAATAAGTCCATTATAGGTGTATGCTCAGGAAATTTGGATTTCAAATCACAAGATTGATATGAGACAAAAGCAGATGTTATCCCCTTTTAACTATGGGTATTGTTATGCATAAATGTTTTACCATTATACAACAACAACACTTTTTTTGTTCAACACTCCACATTTTAGATGAACATTAGTATTGGGACAAACAGGTATAGAAGTCCTGGTTGTCCTGTTGTTATACATTGCATACGTTTCACACACATAAAAGAGTTTTGAAGATCTACAGTAGGCATGGTTGAGGTCTTTTGAAACTGCTTCTGAAGTCATTCATTTGAATTAGCCAGCGAAAACCAACATGAAGACCAGAAAACTCACTATGACAGAAAAGAAGGCCATTTTGAAAATGATACGAAAGAAAATGACCATCAGAGAAATTAGTAAGACTCTTGGCACTGCAAAATCAATAATCCGGAATGTTCTTAAGAAAAAGGAAACAACTGGAGGAGTCAAGAACAGGCAGAGAACAGGGCGTCCAAGAAAGACAAATGCAGTGGGTGACAGAAAAATAGTTAAAAGTGTAAAGGAAAACCCCCAAATTACTTTTAGTGAAATCAAAAATAATCTCAAGAGCGTGGGGATGCAAATCTCAAGTATCACAATCCGCAGAACATATCACCAAGAAAAAAATCAGAGGCTGTACTGTAAGGTGTAAGCCCCCCCATCAGCAGCAAGAACAGAAGAACTTGATTGGAATTTGCAAAAACAAATACAGAGATGAGTTACAGGACTTCTAGAACAAGGTGTTATGGACAGATGAAACCAAAATAAACATCTATCTGTCACGAAGCGTTCTTTCAGGACCCTATGCAGACTTTCGGGGGGGGGGGGGGGTTTGAAGAAAACACGGGGGTTTTCTAACTCATGGTACACGGGTGTTCGGGGGAGGTGTGGCCGAGGCAAACAGTCCAAAGGAGTCCGAGGCAAATCTTTGAAATGTCCAAGACCGGGTGATCCATCCTGACAGAAACAGAGTTAAAAACTGGAGCGGGATCCGGCGGAGGGTCGGGGGGAATAAAAAGGGGGTCACGGGACCAGACGCCCCCTGATCCCGGACCCAGATGCTCAGGACGTCGTTGTGAAGCCTATGCCGTCGAGTCGCTCCTGGACTCGCGGCTAGGCGGGCTTCCGGGCGTCCATCTTCCAAAGCTGAGCCCCGATAGGCAGGAACGTCTGGGTTATAAAGCACGGGGGGCTGGAACCGGAGGCAGGTGCGGGAGATGAGTAGAAAACATGGAAGGGCTGGAGCGTCCTTAAGAGGAGGGGTTTACGATCGTGACACTATCAAAGTGATCGAAAGGCTTAAGTGTGGAGAAAAACAGGAACAGCAAATGAACATAAGCTTACCACTTCTTCAGCAAAGCATGGTGGAGGGAGAATGTACAGTATGGCTGCCTCCGGAACAGGCTCAATGGTCTTTATCGATGACTTACTGTAACTGAAGATGGCAGCAGTAAGATGAGTTCAGAAATAAACTTGATCTCGTCGGAAAATGTAAGAAAAAAAAGCCACCAGACTTATTGGGCTGCAACATACTACACGCTTAACACAGGAGTTCATCAGACATAAAAACTGGAACATTTTAAACTGCCCAAGTCAATCAGCCTAGATCTGAATCCAACTGAGCTTGCTTTTCACGTGTTCAATAGGAGACTGAAGGTAGAAAGCCCAACCAACAAGCGACAATTTAAAGGCTGCAGTTAAAGCCTGGGAAAGCATCTCAAGTGAAGAAACAAAGATTCTGGTGATGGGGCAGAGGCTTGATGCAGTTATTGCAAGCAAGGGACTTGCAACAGAATACTGACCTTTTCACTTCCTTAATTTGCTTAAAGTGTCCCAATGTTTATGGTCACCTACATTTTGGGGGAATGAACACAACATACTGTATGCTTTGGTTGAAAACTGAGCGTGTTTGCAAAATACATTCTAAAAATAAAATGTGCCCTTTCGAACTTTGACTCAGAATATTTTTTATGTGAATTTCAATTTCTTGTGAATACAACAGGGAAATGCCAATTTTAGGTTTTTTGCCCCAATGTTTTTTGAGGGCACCTATTTATTTGACACCTTTTGTCACCTATGCAGAAATTGTCTTTGTTATGCAAAATGAACAACATGATTTACCACAGTTTCTTCTAATGAATTGTTTAAATTAGCTTGCATAGACTTATGTATATACTGTATATCATATACATAGTAACAAATAATAGGTTTATTCCATGCTGAAAAGAAGAAAAAAAATGTTTCGGCTTTGTTTTCTTTCTCTTTTCAATATGGAATAAACCTATAACTTGGCCTCCTTTGCAGCCTACGCATGCTGACACAGCTACCCACCTGAACTATCATTTACATAGTTTTGTATATTAAAAAAGAGCAACGCTGGGTGTTGAGTTTTGCTGGTGCCAGAGCCTTGATATAATTTGAGCTTGTCATCAATGTTACACCACGGTTGACAAAAAGCCATTTTCGTACAGCATTTCTTAATGTAAGATTGTGTGCTGTAAGGGGTCCAGGCTTCAGCAATTTGCATTACTGATTAATCCAGACACTTGAGCGTGTGTAGGTAAAGGATTGGATTTCGGGGGTTTGTGTAACTTATTTGACACAATGTTTGCATTACTTGTATTACCGGGAGGATCACTGTTTACCTTTCTCTGATCTCAGAGCTGACAGGTTCTGTTTGCTCTGTTGTGGTTTAGCCTGAGAGGGCAGGCAGCACAGAATTAAAGGGCTCATCTTGAGACACGGAGAGATGAGAAAGCTCTGGCACCTAGCCTAAGCATTGTGTGTGTGAGAGAGGGGGCATACTTACCTAGCATTTTAGATGTATCTAAATAACATTTGTCTAGCAAGTGGACAACATTTGAGAAACTCTCACCACAGAGACTGTAACTCCTGTTAGACAATGGCGAAACATCGCCAAGATGTGAACTGCTTTTTACAAAACAGATGTTGTCGTCTTCCAAATCGGAAAGTGCCGAAACTATTCATTTAGGATCTACTTTCACCTTTGGGCAATTCATGAAACGAATACAGATCAAATGGGAGTAAATGGGAAGTCCCCACTTTTCTCCAGAAAGTTGTCAGATGCATCTCAAAACGGCAGATGATCGTAAACGTAAACTGATCCCTGATGATCACACTCACGAATCGTTCTCTCGAGCTCTCCATGGGAAAAAGAATAAGGCACATGCTTGGCAGGTTTAGTGTTCACACTAAACACTCAGTCATTCAGTATACACTTCAAACAGATTGTGTAAGGATCTTAAATCGGGCATCTGATAACGGCAATTACGACAACAAGGAAGTAGAGTTGTGCAGTTTAATGAAGACTGGTAGCTTGTTCTTTTCCCCTTGGCATCTAGGTTATTTTGATAGGAAAAATGAGCAGAAAATGCTTTAAAGATGTTTATTTTTTAAAATATAAAGATTAATAACCATGAAAAGAATATATTTTAAAAACACCACGTTTTACAAATATGAACAAATTCAATCTTTTCAGTTTTAAAAAATATACACATAATACATGAGACCATTAAATCCAAACAATCTGACTTGTAAAGGTACAAATAACTTACTGTTTATCTAAATCTAAAAAATAGCTAGAAGTTGCATTCTTTATAAAGAAAAATTAAATTATGTACATGGCAATAGAACAGCTGGATGGATTTATATAATTCTTTCAAAGTCTTACTAACATGAACTACATAAACACCACTCATTTGTCAAAAACAAAAATGTATTCATTTTTTTCTGCTCTTATCAGACTGCATTAAGAGTTATTTGGTCTATGCATTTTATAAAAATTGCATACTTTTGTTGTGTGCAAAAAGCTTAATTTATATTAATGCATATGCTCAATTTGATAAATGTGCTTTTTTTAATGTTGACAATTTTATACTATATATCCTTAGGTAAAACAGATATTAAAGTAACAAACTTGTATCCTTAGGTAAATCAAATACAGGCCAGACCACTGCAATAGTGCAAATAAAGCTTTTGTTCACTAAATGGGTCTATTTCATCATTTCATCCTCAAAGATGGTCCCGTCTATTGAAAAACAAACCTTCAAAATATGTGTTATATCATGTATTACACAATAACTATACATGATACAGTATGTATTTACACCATAATTACATACTGTATTGAAAAGATGAAACTTTAGAGATTCTGAAATAAGGTCAAATAACTATACAGGTCTATGAAAAATACGAATTTGCTTCAAGTCAGCTAAAAAAAGAATAAATGCCACCTGTCTCCTAGGATTAAACGAATTACATCACATTTTAAATTAAGTACTGAAAGAACCTCGTTATATCACTTTTTAAAAATTCATACATATTTTTTCAATCTCTCAAAAATCACCTTGCAAAGCTGTCTTTGTGAACACAATCTTGGTCCTGATTTTCCCTGTGGGCAAAGTGCCCACTCCATAGCAAATAAACTAGGTGAGCAATTTACCTTTTGCTCAAACACAAGGAAAATCAGGCCTTAAAACCATTACCTACTACAAACTCAACTACAGCAGAAAGTGCACACTTTCAGCTTAACTAAAGATGGGAATAAAGAAATGAATACATCTGTATTCAGATGTAAACTAGATGAAAACAGAGTAGCGCATACAAAAAAAATAAATTAAAGAGTCCCTTACAATCAAGGGGGATACTGCTTCCCATGACTCAAGAGACATGGGCAGGGGCCCATCTGTCACTTTCCTTTAGGAAAGTGCATTTTGTGATGAGATTGACATTCACTTATCTGTTAGAAGTGAAATGTCTCTCTGGGGAGTTTTTCCATAGTAATGTTCTACAGAACAAGTAGGACTGCATTTAAATACAATGTTTAAAGTGCAATTATGCTGTAATATAATTTAAACTTATTATTCAAGGCCATACATTTACAGTACACATTAAGTATCCAGCCTACTAGTTTTGCTTTGCTTCTTAAAAATAAGTGTTTTCCTTTATTAATGGGTAGTGCTTAAATAGGATGTGCATGAACATGCCCTCAGTAGAAAAGACTGAAGTAGACCCTGAATATGTGTATATTAATATACTCTGATATCCATTCATTTAAAAATAGAAGAAATTACATTGCACTGTACTGAAACCCCATAGAAAAAGGCAATAACACAGTGAGATGTACAGGATAACACAAGTTTTCAAAAGGAGGTTACTATAAATTGGCCGAGTAGTACTGTAGGTATTAAAAAAATCCTGATCATAGGAATTTTAGATAAATAAATGCAATCTTATATAATATAATTAAAAGAGCTGTTTCTCTTTCTTTGTTTTAGCACCGCTAAAGTATTAAAGCACAAGTAGTGAGGTGTAGTACTACAGCATATGCGACTGTAACCTTCACACTCTATCAGCACGTTTTGTGCTGTTATACCATTTCCGAAGAGCCACTCCGCTAGTGCTGCCGATTACACAAATAGCCCCTCCCAGGCTCCACCACGTCGGCGTTCGGTTGAGAAACAGAAACTGGAGTATGAAGGCCAGCACTACGTCCATCGTCCTCATCAAGGCCACGGGCCCGGCTTTCTCCACCTGCAGCGCTTTGGTGAGAAACGTCTGGCCCGCGATTCCCAGCAGCCCGATCAGCATGAGGATCCACCTGTCCCAGCCGCAGAAGGGAACCGTCCACTCCTTGAGGACGAACAGGGCAATGACGCACTCTATAAGGCCAATGACCGCATAGTACCACACGGACAGGTAGTAGTGAACGCTCTTCCCCATCTTCCGGAGCACGACGAAAGTGGACGCTGCCCCCACTGCGCCGGTGAAGGCCGCGATGGTGCCCTTGATGTGGTTCGTGTAGTCGCCCTCTATCCCGGAGACGCGAGACCCGAAGAGGAACGGGGGCCTCGCAATGAGTATGACTCCCGTCAGCGTGAATATGGTAAAGACGAAGTCCCAGATGGTGCACTTCTCCTTGAGGAAAATCCAGGCCAGCACGGCCGTGAAAACTGGGTTGCTGAAGACAATGACTGTGGCATCAGCCAGCGGCATCTGCTGCACCGCGTAGTACAGCAGAATCATTGCATTCGCCCCAAGAAAGCCTCTCAGAAACAGAAAGATGCGCTGATCTCTTGGTCCCAGGAATCCAGTTCTTCAAGAGAAAACATATACCTCACATCAATATAATATGTTGTGACAGTGCACAGTGGATTCAGAGTGCATAATCCATATATTAAAATACAAACCACACTTTCTACACAATCTACAATATTTTTTTCACCGGGGTAAAAGTTTGTCGGAAGACTCAGTGTACAAAGACACCAGTCTCAGTAGCTCCCAAAAAAGGGCAGAGGAAAACAGGGTTTAATTTATCTTCTTTGGTTAAACCCCTTTACGTAAAATATTAATTCTCTTCTGTCTCAGATTCAAATGAAAGCCCGTGGGTTATTGTTAACCACACCGTTTTAAAAAATATCCCTTGTTTATTCTGTGGATTGATTGTACAACAACTGTGATTTTGGAATGTTCGATACAGGCTGTGATTATTTACAAAAATGTGTGTTTACAACCTTACAATCATATTTACAGTATAGAACTGTTTCTGTAATTCTGCAAACAAAACAGACTAAGACCATGAAAAAAGAAAATAAGCTTTGGTAGCTTCACTTTAGGCTTATCACCATGAATACATTAAAGTCTTGCTAAGACAAAACTGCTCAGTAGACGTAAGATTAATTACACGCATCCTGTTTCAAGGGAGATCACCTTGAACCCACTGCATTAAGCACAACATACAGCAAGCAGGCACAGCAAATTAAACTGCAGTGCTATTTTTATATTTTATATACAGTATGCTATCAAACCACAATAAAAGTCAAACATAAACAGTAACTTGTAAAACCTCCAATTTACATAACAAAATAGACAAAAGTTCCAGGTATGTGCAGTGCCATATTCTGTGAGTCAGAACGAGGCAACAAAACTTCCAGTGATGTGAAAAGGCCCTCTTACATTGTAAACAAGCAGGCTTGTGAAAACATCTCTTTTAATCCAATAGAAATATTGTTCTTGACTTCAAGATAGTTTTATAGACAAATACTATTTGCTTGTTAACATGTTGGAACATTTCTGCAGTGAAACGTTTGCTGCACATCCTGCACTTATTCTCTTGTACTGTACATTGCTTTACATTCGTCGTTACAGTGACTAGTGAGCAGGAAGGGCCATATCACAGCGCAGCTTGCATGAACACGGCTATTACCCGTGGCGAGAACAGGTGTCCGTGACAACACTGGCGACCATACCATACTTAAACAAAGTTCTCAAATGTGTGCTTAATTCAAAATGTCTAAAATGTTTGTGTGCCATCAATGAATTTATTTTGTTACCAAGATGTAATAACCAGTCTGAGAAATTGGGACAACACCCACTTCCTGACAGTTGTGAGTAACAGTTTGGGACAAGTGCTATTACAAACTACTGATGACTTACTTGTAATAAATCATGGCAGGAAGTACAAACAGCATCTGGAAGAAACATCGGATAGCACTGATTTCCACTGCATGAATTCCATCGATTTTCTTCACCAGAAGGGCTACTATTGAGAAAAACAGGGATGCCAGCAACGAATAAACCAGGCCGATGCCAGCACAGGCAGGTTTCTTTTCCGGGTCTGCAAGATAAACCGGCTTGTAATTAATTCCCTTTGTCATATTTCTTAGTTTATTTTATTGAATCGTGTTTTTTAGTTACATATAGCTTATAACTTTACATGTTTGACCATCTTATACAACTGGAACACAAAGTAATTCATGAAAAAGACCCATACAAACAACAATAAGTTAAAATAAATTATGGGTCTGACAGCACCCATCCCTACTCTCTACAATCCATTCAAGCTAAAATGCAAGAAAGGTTTCTGGATTTCTTTTCACTCAAGGCTTTAATTGCCTAATTGAATTGATTTTGATTGTTGAACCATTTTTTTGGTCTTGAGAAGCTGGAGATTTAACGAAACCTGTAACACCTGCTGGACAGCGGAACCCGAGCTCCCCTGTAAAACACCATAATCCTGCATATAGCAGCCCACTTATGTGCACATGATATTATAACATCAACTCAGGAGCTGCATGTTTTGTCAGCTCTGGAGGGTGTACAGGTACTGCATGTGATACTTTGTAATTTACAATTCCTTTGCGACATCCATCACAAACAGGAGCACCAGGAGAAGCTAAAACAACAGATTTCTGCAAATACTATGGTTTAGTGAGTTTCTGTCAAACACATTCTTGTCACAGTTTGGACTTTACTTACAGGTGACTGTTTTTTACAAATCATATATTCTGTGGGAAAGTGGTAAAGTACTGATTTTTTTCCTCTGTGGTTTTATATTTTTTTCAATCAGATTTTATAATCACTCAGCCAGTATGCTCCTAAGTGTAAACAATATGTGGTATGTTTACACTTAAACATATTTTCAATGGGAATAACAATTTTGAAAAACGGGAGCTCCAAAACAAATATTGTATGTCAAGTAAAATATTGAATGTCAAGTAAAAAATTAATTATTACCTTTAAAGAACATGGTTTTGGTAAACTACAGTTCTGGGTAACTATGTTCCCTCTTTATTTAATGAGTTGCCAAGTTTCTTTGTATAAGCAGGAAGGAGCTAGTGAAATCCCTCATTGTGTGTTAACTAAGACACCTGTCTTTGGCTAAGTGTTGCTTATAACATGTCTGTTATTTTGTACACAAAATAACATCCAGGGACGAAGCTAAGGCACTCCTCAACTTCTGTGTTATTAAGCTTGTTCCACCTCTTTTTTTTCCAGCCCCTGTCGATGTAGTCTACCAAACTCGCAACATTACAATGAAGGTGATCACTCGAATTCGGTTTCAACACACAATTATATTTCGCAATATTGCCCATTTCACCACACCTACTGTAACAAACCACAGCAGGGTACAAAAAGCGTTTCTTAAAGAAAATAAACGTATGTAAACCTACATGGGGTCTGAAGATATATTAAGAAAGGGAATGCGATTTGTCCAAATAGATCTTAGAATTAAAGTATAGATTGTTCATGAACTAATATATACAGTAATTAAATTATATTAGTATTATTAGTATTATACTGGAGCTTTGTAAAGTACCGAGGCATTAATCTCTGTAATAGTCAAGAGGCTTACGTGCTTCCCCAGTGAATAAACGGAAAATGCAAAGTCATTCAGATAAATTACCACGTCATATCGCAGCAAGTTCACTGGTGCTTACATATTTGTAATAATTAGTGAGTGTCAAATAACGGTAACTGTTGAAAAATGTACGAGTTAGTTCTACTGCATCTTCTTTAACTTTCATAAATGCCAAACCATAATTTAAACACTCTGGATTATCAAGGATAAGGACACCTGTTAATCGCACACGTTACATAAGAGTACATCGTTTTTCTGAGGAGGACACTGAAGACCATCGGATTTTTAGATACACAAAGTAACTTTCAATCTGTAAAAAAGTTCAATGACTGCTTCCCATTTTTGACCTGCCTTGATCGCAGACCTGCAAAAACCTGACTTTTTACTGTGAGCGAAATTAAGAATTTAGTGCGAGCTGTTCAATTATACATGGTATGGTGGTTTGATTCCCCTATGTAAACAAGAAAGCCAGTACCTTTCGAAAGCGAGTTTCCCTCAGTGCCCTTGTTATTGGGATAACTTTGCTTTCCGCAACATCTGAAAAGAGAAAAATGATTTCTGGTCTCGGGGTCTCCCTTGGTCGTGCTGTCCGTTCTCGCTGCCCTGTCCACCCCAGAAATGTGGCAGTTATTTTGCAGATGAAGCTTCTCAGCAACACATTCACCGTCAACCTCTAAGTGAAAAATCTCCACTAGCTCTTCCTTCAGGGGGTCGACCGATAAGGCATCCTCACTGTCATCCCCAGCGACCGTGCTGCTGAACTGGCTCATCTTCTCCGAGATGCTAGTAAGTTCGCATGCCTTGGGAAAGTATCTTCTTTACCGGCTGCTCCCTCTGGAGTAACGAGTGAAGTTTTAATAAGTAACCTTGGTCAGCTCCTGACACGCTGTTAACTTTTCTCCACTAGGGGGAGGGGGGTAGAACGAGCACCTTTCAGTTTCCACCGCCGGATGGACAACTAAAACATTGCCCAAGGTTGCCTCAGCTCTCGTCCCTGGGCCGGGTGACTACCAGCTGCGCCAAAAGTTGTGCATTCTTCTTCTCTCACTTTGGAAATATTCTCCTCTTGTGTTCATATACTTTATGAAAATGTAAAGTTATACAGCTTTAAATACTGTAATTCTTTTGAGGACGAAATTAAACAATGACAACTTCACAGTATTCTTGGCATGTGTTGGAGAAAGCTCACGAAGGATCAGTGCTACTTGCATTATTGTATAGCATTAATGTTATTGTAAATTCATTTTTATTTTTAGCACAAGGACATTTCGTTGCAGATGTTTTGGGTAACTTAATTATTTTATTGTATATTTATATTGTCATGTAGATGAAGAAGAACCTTTATTTCAAAAACTGTCTCTGATCATTTATGCTTTTATATAGGACTGAACATGTATAAATGGTGTATAAAAGATATTGGGATGAGAATGATTTTTTCCTCTATTAACCAAAACCCTTAACTATTTCCTATTTAAACAGGTATTTAACTAGACTTCTCCTAAAAAATGGTAAAAGAAAATGTATTATCTAAAACTCTGTTCCATTGAGTATAACTGCCTGTATCATAAGTGAATTGTCATTAATTGTGGGATGTCTGGAAACAGTAGCATAAGCCTTTGACCCAGGGCAATAGTTCTTCGGGATTAAGCAGTTTTTTTTTTATCTTGAGTGCAGTTGGAGTCAGGTGCCCAACTCACAGCTGAGCAGCTTTCAGATGCAAATAATAAAGGCTTTGTTAGTTTGCATTAGATGAAAGAAATGGAATTTTACTATTACATTTTTTTGTGTTCTTTACCGTTGCAAAAAGGTATAAATTCTTTCATAGTGAGAAATTGGCTTATTATGCTTTAGAGCAGGGTGTCAAACCCATTTCCAGGAGAGCCTGGTGTCTTCTGGGTTTTGGTTTTGTTCCGACATGGGCTGTCAATTTAACAACAACAAACGTATTTGTTTTTTTTCTAAATGAGACAAATAATGAATGTTTCACAAATGTTTTACAGTTGATAACTTACAAATTCCATTTCACTAACAGTTTCGTTACATATAAATATACACAGAATTACAATTACATGAAAGCAGTTAATTAAATAGACCCACTATGTCACAGAGAGCTGAGGGGGAACAAAAAGCAGAAAACAGGTCTGAGTCTGACACCCTGTTACTAAAGGTGTTAGTTCAGACAGTAGAAGCTTGAATGTTTGTGTGCCATATTGTCATTTACTTCTATTGAAATCTCACAAGCAATGTATGTTTTTTTCTTTAACCTTTCACCACTCTTGTGATAACACCATTTCAATTGTCATAAAAACAGGCTTTTATTGTTTTTGTCTTTTATTCTCCTTTATCGTAAAGTACCTTAAGATAACACCACAAAAGGCTCTGTATAAGACACTGTGACATGTACAGTAGCTGCCAACAGACCTTTTACTGCTGACAAAAACAGTACGTAATATGCTTTCAGTGCATACAGTAGGTCAGGTATTCTAAAACTGATACTTTTCTAAAATAGTACGATATACCAGTTCAGCTTTGTTAATCTAAACTAAAAGTGAATTGCACTCCATGCTTTGCGGAATTAGCTGGCTAAAAAAAGATTGGTATTTAGCAGGTTGGGGTTGAATTCCATACGGCACTAGTCTTAAACTGATTCTGGTGAGGCAGTGTGTCTGTAGGTTTTCTGTAGATACACTGTTCCTCTAGGCCTGGAATGTAGTACAGGAAGCAGTGTCTGTCTGATTCGTGTTACACGTACTATGCCACTATGTATCTTTATGCTGTTATTTCACATAAATAGCTAATACCATCTGTTTTATTTCAGATTTTTATTAGGAGTAGAGTACTATACAGTTTCATACAAACAAGCAACAATAAAAATCCAAGTTGCTTAGATTTTTGTTTTCACACAACAACATCTAGGTTTGCATTGCAACAGGTTAAATTCTTTAATTACAAATGTGACTTTAAAATTGAAACATTAACCTTTATATGAAAGATTTGTCTCACTGGCATGGTCCCTCAGATATTTACAAAAGCTTCATTTATAAATAATTTTGCTTACACTGTAAAGACAGAAAAATGTAAACATTTTATTTGGCAGATTGTTTCTTCTTTTTCCAAACAGGTTAATAAATAGATGAAAAAGTACATTTGATTTATTTTTCCCTCTACCATGACAGATGTGCACAGGTATTTACAGCTCATTGTTGGAAAGAGTGAGTTAACAGTGGGCTTTTCTTTTTTTTAAAGAAAGCGCCAGATGGTGACAACAAAAAAAAAACATAAGATGGACATTTCTAGCAAGGCATTCATCTGGAAGTATCATTAGCGGGTTTTATCATGCACATGTCGTCCAACAACAGGGTCCATCCCCATCCAGTGCAGTTGAGAATCTTGACTGCATCTTAAACACAAGCTAGATCTGCTCCTGTTAATCGCTTAGGTCAATCACAAGGTGTTCGTAAATCTGAGTTTTTCCTTTAAAACTGGAGGCAAGCAAGAACTCACGTTTGTCAATGGAAACCAGGGAGAATGCCCTTGGAGCCTGGATGTTCAGCTCTTGAAAGCTAACGAACTGCCCTTTCTTCATATCCCAGCGATAGACTTGAGTAAAGGAGTAGTCACTTCCGAGGATTGCATACTGCCAGGTGTTGACCGCGAAAGGCTGGAACACCATTGAGCCCCGGGACGGCATTGTCTGTATCTCTGAAAACATCGAGCCATCCCACTTCATCACTTTAGAATCCCCGATGAACCTGGTCAAGCAAATGTACAGATCGTTATTCACTTTGAAGTGCTTCACTGCGTAGACATCTTCCATTTCGGGGATGTCTGTGCGTCTTTCGAACGCTTTCTGGGCTTTGTTCCACTGGTAAATGACAGGCCTCTGAGAGCTGCTCGAGAGAATCAGGTGCGGCTTGCTAGCTATTTCCAGGTACTCCACATCTGTGTCCCTGTACCAGGGGTGAAGGGACTGGTGAGAGTAAAAACCGTTGCCGTTCCATTTGTACACTGTCGTGGACCCTGCTTTAGAGCTGTCAGCAATGACAAAGTAGGATTCGTCTTCGATTCGAAAGGTTTCAACATCGTTGGGCTTCCTGATTTTCAGAATGTCGATGTCCTGGATTTTGATGAACTTGCTGGCAGAATTGTCCCGTTTGTAGATGTGAGAGCCGCCAAAGAGCTGGGCGACTATAATGAACAGCTGACCATCAATAACCAGTGGCTTGCAGACAACAGTGGAAGTGCCTGTAACAGGAAATGAAACATGCAGTTATTCTTTTGAAACACAACTGAGTACTTGCATTTCTACAAGTAACACAATTAAAACGCTAACACTTCTGTAAGACCAAAAGTAAGTAAGCCTTCTCCACCACTCCACTTCAGCAGGGCCCTAGGGTCTGCAGGTTTTCCTTCTAGCTTTTGTCGTGGAATTTTATCGAAGAAGAGCCAGGAGAGGTATTCTCACGAACTCAGTAAGGTCTTTATTCATATTGCAATATGGGAAAAAGCCATCACCTGTCTGTGCAGAGAAGTGTAAGATGATTCAAAAGCAAGCAGGGAGATGTTTTACATCTTTTTTTAAGCTGATGCAACACTTCAAGGACAGTGTCATTGAGTGTCAAACAGTGTCAAAGCAGTCATTTTCCATACTTACAGGTTTTTGCTTTAAGCAAAGAAGAGCAGTTATTCAAATAGTTTCTCATACTCCCTTCTTCAAGCAGCAGAGATAAACATTATTAAAACATCCCGTGCCCTTGACGAGTTGGATGCTATCACACTTTGTTCTACGTATCCAGCTGCTTCTGCGGCACAGCTCTGTCCGTAAACAACATTTTTAGGATAAAACACTTTTTCTCAGTAACTTTCCATTACACTTTGCTCTGGAATTACTTAATTAATTAGTCATTATTTTAATTTTGTCAGGTGCTCTACTTTCCTCCCATAGTACAAAGACATACTGTACATGTTGGTTAACTGGCTTCTGAGAAAACCGCACCCCTGTACTAGAGTGTGTGTGTGTGTGTGTGTGTGTGTGTGTGTGTGTGTTCCCTGTGATGAAATGGCGTCCCATCCAGGCTGCATCCCGCTTTGTGCCCACTGCTTGCCGGATAGGCTCCGGCCCCCCCGCGACCTTGAATTGGACGAAGCAGCTAGGAAATGGATGGATTGACGAATCAGCTTAATTGGTTCAATTTAACACTCGCAAAGGTTTTCAGCTTTTGATGTTTTAATGACACACATACTGTAGAAGTTTCTGGATCTTGGCCATTGGGTGTCAGAGGTGTGCAATCAATGGATCACCGATTCTTGCCTCCGCTCCTAGAGGAACACTCCTGGTCTCTTGGGTTTTGCTCCAGCCAAGTTCTTTTTCACAGGCTAATTGATCAATCCATTTTTTTAACTGGGGCATGCTTGTAATACTGCTTCCTGCTCTTACAAATGGGATTTGTATTAAGTGTACGCCCTGTACCAATGTCTGCGTTTCAGATTTGCCTTCATTGATGTGTGATGCCCAAATGTATCTGATTGGGTCTCTGCAGAAGCAAACCTGCTGACTCACTGTGGGCGTGTCTGATACAGAGCCATTCCCACCTGTGTCTCTTTATCATCAATTGATCAGCTAGCAAGAGCTCTTTAGTCAGAAATAACATGCTGCAAGCTGAGGAGAAGCTGTGTGCAGCTGTGAGAAGGTCTGCGAACTGGAAGTTGTAGGAGACAGTATGCTTGAAGGGGGGTATCTTTGACACTCAGGACACATTTTAGAAATAAGTTACTTAAACAAGCAAGCGGCTCAATTAAAACATCAATTAGCACTGGCAACTTAGAGATCAGCAGGAATGAAAACCACCAGATACAGTGTTCCTCCGGGACCAGGGCTGGGAACCACTAGTCTAGGTTTGGGTTACCTTATTTAAACATTCAAAAAAAGAGGGGGGGAGTGTTTGTACCAGTATCTATAAAATTGCAATGTATTAACGATATATGAAGTATATATAAAGTGTTATATAATATAAATACATTTTGTTTGCCACAGAGATGCAAGTATCAGGTCTGCTTTCCAAGCACTCAACTCCCCATTCTTCTCTATCGATAATTTCTGTCTACTCTTCTGCAACCAATTTGCACTTTTGTTTTGTGTTAAGAAAGAGCAAAATAAAATATCACAAAAAGACATTTCAGATAAACCCTACAGCAAACAGCAGAACACTCATATCTGTTCAGATTGAAAACTGAACAGGGCAGCAAACTAGACACACCCACGACACGCAGTCTATCAGCACACAACCTCTCTTGTGCCTGATCAACACTCTACTACTCCCAAAAACATTTTGCATCAGAAACCTCCGGGGAAAAAGAATAAGGGAAACGAAATCCCAAATGTTTTAAGATACTTGTAAACCTTTTTGGACAGAGATTTAAGGACCAAATAGGAGGACATGTCTGGGCAAATATGGATGTATGGTAACCCTAGTCTAATTCTTTAGGGTTTTGGAATTAAGGGTTCCAGTCCTGGTTTATCTTCAGGATTTCAGTCCTGCTGGGCTCTTAATAACCCTAATCAGCTCAGATATGGCCTAACTGACCAATTTAACAGCTTTTGACAGCTTAACATAGAATTGCAGATCCACTGGCCTTCCAGGAAGTGGATTGGAGCACACTAGTATGAATAATTTTGTAAGTACTTTTTTAAAAGGTGATATTTGGAGAAAAACACAATAGCTACCTAGATTAATCTAGTAATAATATAACATCCAAGACACACGACCAACTTGACTTGTTACATTGTTGTTATTAATTATACTTAACTTAATTCTATTTGTGTATTACAGTAAAGTCCAGTCCCAGTTCTGGTGACCAGACTGATCTCTAATTTCTGATGCATAATTGAACCCTTGATATATGTATCATTTGATTAAAATTGTACCATGTTCAAGTTAATTAAGATTTTTTCTAGGTAAATTAAAACCTGACTGTTCCAGAACTGAAGATAATTAGAAAGGTTTAATTAATAAGTCATCAAATAAATCTGTGGTTCAATTAAATCGAGAGCTCAGATGGAACACTAGCTAGCAGACGCTGGTTTCAGGAGGACCTGGTATGGGAATCCCTGGTGTACATTCACAGTAATCTGTCAATGGCACCATCTAGTGATAAATTATTGGCACTGCATATGGTCCTCTTTATTCCTTCCGCCCTCTAGTTTGGTTTGAGTTAATATGACAAAATCACTAATTATAACTTACTGTTGATGTTGTCATAATTCCGGAAGACCATTTCAACATGGTCCCATTCCAGAAAACTGCATTTTCCAATAAAGGGCTGGGCAAATACAACATATTCATCATTCATATAGGAGAATGAATCTACCGAAATAGACTCAAACTTCAGGGTTTGGTAGGCGGCAAATTCTGTAAAATAGAAAACAAAAATTGTAACTATAACAACCATGCTTTTGTATTTTGTATTTTCATGATAAAAAAATGTTTAAAAAGTTAAACTACAGTATGATTTCAAGATGTATGCATTGTTAACAGGTGATATTTGGAACTGTAATTCATTGTTGAAAGTTCAATTAATTCCAGGAATACCACTGATATAATACTTAAGGTAAGTGTCTTTAAACCTTCCAATATATGTTTCAAATCTATTATTCCACATATTATAGTTACTGTATATATACGTTTTCATGTTGGGTTTGACCTAGCCATGTAACTATAAAATCAGTGACTTGACCACTGCTGGCCTTACTTAGCTTTAGTTTTATTTCCAGAAATACAGTCTGAATTCTGCATTAAGTATCAAATGCCTCTGTCCATTCTCGGGGTTCCTTTACGTGACCTTCGGTGCCAGACTAAGTATTAGATTATAAAAATGAAGGGCTGGAGCAAAAAAATGAATAAAAAGGAAGTGTAGTTCATAAAACCATCCAGAAGCAGTAATATATAGAGTTTTTTTATTTTAGAAAATAAAACAATTCTGCCTCTCTGGAGAGATACTAGTGTTTGTGTTTTGTAGCTGTTATAGTGCAGATGCTTGTTATTCTGATCACCTGTCGTTATGCAGTCAAATGACTGTGCCGAGAGCTCATGGAGTTTCTTCCCTTGATAAGCTGGTGGGCTGCTGCAGAAGATCTGGTCCACAGTTGCATTGGTGTTGTACATCCATTCTACAAGCCACTTCAATTTGCAGTCACAGTTAAAGATATTACCTCGGAGATCCCTACACAGTCAAAAGATAAAAGATGAATGGCACAATGGCATAGTTTCACCCTACCGCACACACAATAAGAGGTCTGTTTGACCTACTTGGTGTATGTTTGATATACTACTGATGTCTGATAAGGAGGCTACATTTCTAAATACATCTCTATTGGCTAAGCATGCTAGCAATACAGGGTATACAATAGTATCGTTGTCTGTTTCCTCAAGATTGCAGCCAATGCTTTTCACAGTTACCATAAAACAGGAAAATTTATTGTATTTAGCACACATGCTCCGCTTCAGTTTTGCCAGGAATGTTTTGTACAAAAACCTTAATTGTAAAATTTTTGAAAGAGGATGAACACCGTTAGTGTGAAAAATCTGGAACTTTAAATTCTAGGGCACCTCAGTCTTAAAATTAATTGTTTCACACCATTGTCTAAGCTAGAAACAAAAAGCAGCAAACAATAAATAACATCAGTGGGGAAAAAACAGTAAATGAATACCTACACTTTTGTGAGCGCCTCCATCCCCTTAAAAACATCTTTCGGTAGTGTTTCCAGATTATTATAAGCCAGGCTCCTGCAAACAGTTAAAAACTTTGTTTTAGAATGCATAAAACAATTAGCAGACATTTACTCCAATTAAAACAAACACTTTCTTCTCTGCAAGAAAGCTTTTGTAGTTTACAATTAATAATAAAATTCTATATAAATATAAATAATAGTACTACTAAGTATGTAGTGATAAGCACTATTACTGTAAACTTGTTTTCCCTTAATTTGTGTTTACTCAAAGATACCCGTGCAAACATACCCTATTTTTTAATTTTACATATTTCAATATCTGAATTCCAGAACATCACCTGGTGAGCTGTTGCCAGGAATGGCTTCACTGAAATGCAGCAAAGGGACAGTTTAAGGTTACAGAGTTACGGCTTATTTTTAGATTTCCTTCTTTAGTCACAGCATTCTTGGTTATATAAATAAAATGGCATCAAATTACTGTTTCTAATTAGTCCATGTTTGTTGTTTGGTAACCTCAACAGCTGGCAAAAGATGTCGTAACATTATTTGTAAAGTACGCAGCCTTGGAATGTTGATTGAATAAGAACAGCATAGTAAAGAACAGAACATTCAATATTCTGTCAACGCCTAAATGAACAGAGAATTGCTGCAAGAAATGAAAAAAAAAGATGTCCATATGTAATCAGTCTGAAGCAATTCTATGCCACATCTCTTTAATGAGAACCTGTGCATACTGTACATTGCTCAATCTAAGACTTTCTCCATTAATCATCTCCTTTAAGAATCAACGATGAGTTTCTCCCCAGAGCACATTTTCTAATACGTCAGGATGCTCTCTGCTTCATAGTCCATCTGACTCTTTCACAGTTCAGAAGAACAGCTTCATGTTATTTTAACTTTGTGCCATTGCTATTACCAAAAATACAAATGGTAAAAAAATCTTCTACTACGAAGAACCACTACCTTAACATTATTTGAATTATTGATTTTTTTAAATGAATGTGGAAAGTCAGTGTTTAATAAGGGTAAATTCCTTTTTAAGCATTGAATAAAACAATGCAGCATTTTGAAGTGCCTTCTAGACTGAAATTCAATTTCTCAATTCAAATGCCAACATGTCCTTAAATATCACATATAAAAATAGCTCACCTATTTGTGTGTACCAAACTATTATTTGTGAACTGTATGTATCAGGGTAGGGTACTGCCCCTGGAAAACGTACCGCATGTACTTGCATGTACTCCGATACATACCGTGGTATACCGCGAACTATTTTGCATGTTTATATACTGTATGGAGACTCTCTCGTATATAATTGATTTCATGATTTGTAAAGCATATTCAGTTGTACACAATATAAAGTAAAAAAAAAATGTTGTTTTGTTGTTTTATTGGAACCAAAGAACTAGAGATAACACTGAACAGTGTAACAAAGCAATTTAACAACATGCAGATCTTTGTCAATCATTAAATTATGAAATCTTTTATTAAATCTTTTTTCACAGCGTAGTGGAGGTTAATTTTGCTTAGCAAGATAATGTAAAATTTAAAATATGATAGGTGCTTGTAAGTTGTAACATTTTTTCTTTACAATGAATAAAGCTGACATTCACAACCTTATGAAACATGTTTAGCATGTTTGATTGCCCTTGTCTATTTCATCTAAAACTTCAAATAATCCTCAATACTTGCTTAAAACACTGCTGAGACAAGACATTCTACTGTATATTCACTTAACAGCAAGAGACAATCTTACCCGCAAAAAAAGAAAAAAAATCCAAGCATGTCTAATGCCCAATGCCATTCTCCTTTTTTGACAGTGTAAAATGATTAAAAAACAATTTCCAGCGTCAAAATAGTAAGTAATGAATGTGTAGAAATAAAGGAATATTTTCCCTTGAACCTAGGATTAAGACCTGTGAATGACAGAATTTTCAACCTGTATTTAACTAACTGGAAACCATAAATCTGTAACTCAGGTGATGAAATAGTCATCTACAATTACACACCACACGATGAGGCCCCATCCACCCACTTTCTAACCGCTCGCTCCCAGTGAGGGTCGCAGTGGTAACAGGGCAGACCAGACAACCCGTTTCCAGGCTCCAGCTCCCCCTTGGGATTTCCAGGGATTCCCAGGTCATATACAGTAGGAGATATAATCCCTCTGGTGTATCCTGGCTGTGCCTGGGGAACCTCCAACCTCACTACATGCCTGAACTATCTCAGCTGGCACTTCCCAATCCAGAGGAGCAGCCACTTGACTCCAGGATCCACCCACACTGCTGAGCTCCTCAACCTGTCGCAGAGAGTCACCACCGGCACCCCCACAGAGAAACCTCATTTCTGCCGCTTGCACCCACTATATCTCATTTCTGTTGGTCACTACCCGAAACGTATGGTCATAGGTGAGGACAGGGACTGGATTCAACCGGAAAAATACGTAGACTCATCTGAAGGATCATCTCTCGCTTCACCACCCCGGTTTGGTACAGCAGTTTCATTACTGAAACTCTAAAACCCATTTTAAGTACGTGTATGAAATTTGAGTACATTTTATTAAGTGTCACACTACATTACAGTCTTTATGCAGCCATCCAATAAGCACGCAGCTTGCAATTCTTTTACGTTTTACACCATTTACTAGTACATCAACCTACTAATTTTAAAACTCTGCAATCAAAGACAACTCCACACCACCTGAAAATAATGAGCAGACCTGTGTTGCTTGTGGTGCTGTTCTTTATGCTTTTTTTTCCTAGGATGAGAAACCCTGTGGTTTGGAAGTGAATCATATTTACTTTAACTGTTCATATATTCCTTGCACATTGGCAGGCTCAGTCAGCCATTGCAGCCTAAGTGAGTATTGAGTGTTGGTGTTAAAAACCTCAGAGACCGTCATTAGTGGCACACTGTCAAGCGCTGCTCCTGCCTGGAGAAAGAAGGACACCCACAAATACATCTGTTACACTGAGGAAAAATAATTTCATTTCTACTGTTTGTGTTTTCATTTCCATTTATGGTACAAAACACCACTTGGATGAAGATGTTCTTTGTAGTATGAAGCTTCTTCATCACTCTATCAATGACCATGACAGGAGCACCAAGCCAATGAGAGTATTTTCACACCTATCTCCCTAGCTTGGGCCGTATAGAGGCAGACCCCAGAACTGGGCTATGTTGTCTTGAACTCAGTGAGTCACCCATTCCCCGATTATGGAATGCATCTAAATTTATATCAGTATCTAATTATAACTTGCTCTTCCTTTTCTAAAATATTCATTCTGCTTTTGGGAATATGACACTGAGATTCAAAGGACTTATTAAACAGCCTAAAAACACACCGATTAAGACTCTTGTACTCCCCAAGCCTGTGTGCTAAGCATAATAAACACCTCAAGTGAACTCTTCATCCACACACGTATTCAAAGAAACATTACCAACTCAACTGAACATCTCACCACTCATACATGAGCATCCTAAGAATGATGAACACCCCAAGTAGAAAGGCAAATGCAGAAACTCACAAGTGTATTAGGGATTTCAGTCCTCTGAAAGCATTTGGGGAAATAGACTTGATTTTGTTGTTTTCAATAAACCTGCAAGAAGAAGTTAAACTCTTTTTAGAAGATGTTTCAAACAATAGTGGTAAAAAATTTAAGAATATTTTTTAAATGTAGAAATGAATCCATCTTACAGGTATTCCAGATGGGGAAGACCCAGGAAAGCATCTTCATTTATAGAATCAAAGGAGTTGGCTGTGAACAGGCTGGTAGGAGAAAAGTAACTGTTTGCCACATAAACTCAAAAATAAAAAAAGACTTAAAGGAGAAGTATTATAAATTCTTAAATATAAATTGAGCTTTGTATGAAAAATGTGAGTAAACCAATAAACACTAGAAATTAAGGTCTCTAGTTATCTCAAATAAAAATGGACAACTCAGTCTCAGTGACTCAGTTTTCTTACAACCAGGAGCTTAGTTTTGCATAACTGAACCATCTACACGCTTTTCACATATTATATTATTAATGTTATTTACAGAGACTTTTAATACCCACTGGTCTGTCACCTTCTGCCCATGTTCTACTACATCAAGAGCTACCTTTCTTCACACAAGAAAATATTTTATTTTCAATGTATAATGTAAGTTTAGTAAGCCTGGTTTGTCTGTGAGTATGTGGTGGAGGTGTGCAGACCTCAGTTCCATTGCTAAACAAATGGAAAATCACTCTTACAGTATGTGCATTTCAAAAAATAAAAATACATTTTTAAGCATTGTAATCCATGTCATCCCAAGCTGTAAACTCAACAAGTGAAAGCGACACTTTATTAAACATTAATGGGGAAAAGACTAAAAAATTAACTCTAATTTATATTACAAAGAAGTAAATACTAAGTCTGAAAACTGACTTGATTTTTTTAAGCAGCATACAGCCAAATCCCCAATGGGTGTGATGTGGGGAGCTTACCAAGGCTTTTTACTGTGATTCTGGTGGGATGGTGCTAATTTCACAGCCTTTACATGATTTTAAAAAATGAGTTTGGCTGAACAAGTCATGAGCTAACACTGTTAAAATGATGAGCCAAGATAGAAGACCTGCTAAGGGATTCATGTGACTGATTTGGCATGATCTCTAGTTCTCTCACTGTTGATGCAACTCTGAAGAAACCTACTGTAGCTAGTTCCTGAGCATGTACTAATTAAAAATGAATTACACATGACACCTTCATTTGTACACAAAACCTTGACATTGCATAACTCATTAAAGTTACCCTCTTCCACAATTGTGCACAGGGTTATTGCATAGGAGGCATGAAAAACACCCCTTCAGCTTTAGAAATTCAACTGTTAATAAGATTATATTGGGACAAAATACCACAACTTAATACTCAGGGTTGCCTGAATAGATTTTAGTATTTAATATGCTCAATTATGTCTGTACATACTGTCTTTGGGCTGGTTGCAAAGACAAATGCCAATAAAATACACAATTATTTTGCTGTGTTCCAATCACATTTTTGCTGGTTATTTAAATTCTGAAAGATATTTAAAATTTGTGGATGCCCATACCGGAATATGGATTCTGGTGATAAAAGATTGTCATTTGCATTTTTGGGATATGATCGTTCAGAAGTGGATATGTGCAAACAATAATAATGTATTAAGCTTTTTCATACTAAAATTGTCTTCTCCATTGTGAATTTCTATTGGTTTCCCCAATAACAGGCATTGCTTTACACACTTGCTTTTATTTAAAAAAAAACTAAAACATAAACCAATGGCTAAATAATCCTTAAAACAACAGTAATGTCTTCAGTTGTGTCCAAATCAACCATGGGGTGTTAATCTGAAAAGCATTTAGCAGTATTGCTATTCAAATTAGATCAAGGAAAGAAATGACTGTTCAGATGTCCCTATTTATAATGCCAAAAGCCTCGTCTTAATAAATATTACAATTTACACATGTCCAGACTTCATAGGTATTTACTAAAGATAAATGGGAAGATAAATATTTGGCTAAAACGTTTTGCTATTGCGTGAGATTATTTCGTGGTTGCTAATGTCGGCCAATATGTGGCATAGATTCAGTACCTCCTCACTCCTCTCAACTGGCTACAGTGCTGTTTGCCGGGTCTGCTAACGAATAGAGGAAACCCAGCGTCTGTCAGTAGGATTTATAGACCGGTCCATCCTTCGTGAAATCAATTACATAACATAATGACCCATAATCTGTTAAAATTTAGAACTATTATTTTGCATTTAACCTAATGCAGCAATGATAACGTGACCTCTTCTCAGCTACTGCAATGCACATCTCTCACACCTACAGAAACCCCCTTTCAAATTTTTGATAAAGCTTAGAGCCAACATTATGTACTGTACCCAAGCACATAAAACGCTGGAAAACATTCCGTAGTATCAGAGATTCCGCATCAGTCAGCACAAACCTTTGTCTATTAAAAAAAAACATGGCGATCATCACTTTAAAACAGAATGGCAGTATGCAGCCCCAAATAATTGTGAGAAAAGCGCTACATTTCGAGGTAGTAAAGGAAAACGTTAATAAAATCTCACAGAAGCTGCAGTGCTGGTGTGTGGACGAAGCTTCCTTCTGGGATTTCGTTGAATCCTGATTTCACAAATGATCTTTAAAACAAGAAAGCACCATTTACTCTTAGAAAAAAATAATATTGTAGAACACTGTTGAATAACAGTGTTGAATGTGCAACCATTTATAATTAAATCGCACCATGCAGTACGGCGCATTGAATTATAACATTCATTGTCAAATGGCAATTATTCTTCACATTTTAGTAGTTCGCGTTTAAACATTTAAGATTTGCAAAAATTGGATGATGTAAAAAGAGGTTAACTTGTATTGCTTTATAAAGCATGTAGCATTCCTGTCTGTTTCACACAAACATTTCATGCGAACTGAACATTTTATAATGCCACTTACAATGAAACGACATCGGGAGGGAAGCTGCGAGGAACCGATCTTATGTTTTCACACAGGGCATTATCTTTGGTGCATGTACACGAAGAGGGGCATCTGGGTTTAGTTTTCTTACTCTCTACTAGAAGAAGCACAGACGCAAGCCACAGCAGGAACGTGTATCTTCTGAAGGTTTTGTTGGCATATCCCATCCTTTTGATCCACTCTGGTTACAACCAGCGCGTAGAATATCCCTGAACATGAACCAGGTTCTCTGTTGAAGATACGCGTTATTTATTGCTCGGAGGCCAGCGTAGCCTTTTCTGCAGTTTTCGAGTCCGGTTCTGCTTCTGCCGCTGCTGTTGTAACTAAACCGCAACTGATCCCTAAACCCAACACTCAGGCGCTAATCCAAGCGATTCGTTCCGCGAGACGCAAGAGCCAAGACGAGCGACACAATTTCTGCAGACAAAAGTGTATCTGTAATTTATGTGACCAAAACTGGACCGGCACTTCGGAAAACACGAATTGGCACTACAGAGGAATTGTACTTCAGAGAGGCAGGTAACCGTAAAACAGAAACGAAAAAAACATATTTCTGTACACCCTTCAGATTGATTACTTCTTCGGTCTGTTGGCTGATACTATTCAACTTGACACATACAGAATCAACGGCGTCTTAAAATGATCTTCTGCACTGCTATTGGCTTATCGCTGTGAAAAAGAAAAAAACGGAACCCGTTTGTCATCCTTGGAGAATATGGTCCCCCTGTGTCATCGACGGATAATGTTCCTACCCATTAGCTTAGTTTATTAGGCATGGTAGGAAAACATACCATGATTCATGTGAGAAAAAATATCCAAGGCAATAGGTGTTTATTATTGAAAAGAAGCTGCGTCTCATCAAAAGCACACTCTTTTTTTGTCTGTATAAGCTTTCTGGGAAAATACTTATCATTATTTTATTAACAACATTATTCTATATAGCCACATAGCCTATGTGCACACTATATCACAGTTCTGGAGTTAATGTTAGTGAATCATTGAAATACTAATATAAATATTTTAATCGCGTAATATAATTTTATTAATGAGCTTCATTCGAGCAAAATGCGCCAATTCAACAGTACTGACATAAACAGTCCGTGTAACTTTAAGGTGTATTCAATTCATGCTAGGCAGTCCGTCCAACTGTTATTATTATTAATCATAATCCTCATCTTCATGGGGTACCTAAAGGTGTTCATTATTGCACAATTCATCTCAAGTGCTTTGGCTCAAGAACAAAAATATTATAGATGTTTTCATCTTTTGAGCTTCACTTGAGTAAAAACAACAGAAATATCAATCAAGACTTTGCTTAAAACTTTGAATGTTTTAATATATTAAAATATATTGCTGTAAACATATCAGTGCATATTATTAAACGTAGTCACATGATCAGAGCATTATTGTTGGAGTACAATTCTAATTCATTTTCAGGAGGGCACTGAATTAGAAGATCATATTTAAGATCATTCACATTTTAGAAATCGTCCTACTCTTACAAAAAGGAGCCTGACATTAAGCCTTGACAACAGCTGGTTCAAGTCAGCCAGAGTGAAAAGACCCTCCCCCCCCCACCCATCAGAAGACAAGTTCCAGAGAACCAGAAACTTTCACCAGAAACTGAGGATTTAGGCACTGGAAAAGTCAGGGTATACAGGCCCTGGAAAGTATTTATGAGATAGTTATGTCTTTATTTATCATCTTTTTTACACAAAATGCATAATCACTTAAATCCTGCTTTCTTTGCCCAGAGACCAGTGGTCCCATTCCAGACTGCTTTGCACAAGCTGACACCAGTATTCATGAACTGTTGTCAGGTTTTTTTTCATGTACTACAACAGATTAAACAGATTTATCTTTTGCATAGTATTAGTTCTAATTAACTATTTTAAAGACAGTCTTACCTCTTTGCCTTTAGTGTTGAATGCATTCTGTTCCTGTAACCTACAACAAATTATGGGAGAAGAGGAGCAATCTCATCTTCTTTCATGTTACTTGTTCCACTTTGTTTTCCATTGTCCCCAAATCCGATGATCATCAGATCTATTATTGAATAAGGTTTATTATCCAATAATAACTCTATAGGCTCTATAACTATATAGACGTGTGTGTGAAACCTACAGTATTTTATAATTCCTACATATATTTCATAATTAGGTAATTGATTTAAAACATTATTTAAATAGATGAGAAATCATGAAAATTGTATCACTTTCATTGCATTTCTAATACACACCTCCATTACACCACTGACTTCATTTGGTTACGATGGGATTATGCAGTGATAAAAAATAAATTACTTTTTATACTTTAAGATGATAAGGTACTCTAATATTTGAAAGAGAATGAAACAGGCACACTTTGCTAGATTTCCTCATAAAGATGAACTGTAAATCCTTATATTGTGCATCCTTCTCACTTTTTACAATGCCACAAGACTGAAACACTGTGCCCTGCACAAATCCATAACAATGCAGAAAACATCCAGTTATTTCTTCAAAGTGTAATTTTTGTTGGTTGCTAAGCACCCTCACTGTTTGCCAACTTCGAGATACTCAGAATGCAGGCGGCATTAAATGGCAAGCCTTTGTCATGTTCAATGGGGGTTCCAACACAACAAAGTCTGAATAACACTGAAGTTCTGTCCGACGCTAGAAGTCTGGAAGACGTTCATTTTTTTCTCCTTTTTTTTCTCGCTGGGGCCAATTCAGTTACTTAACAGAATAAGTGACTTGTTGTTCGGTTTTGGCAGCAAAGGATCTGTGCAGTGCCCCCTTTTGTCGGGGGCTTGTTTATGGCATGAAGAGACTGTGGGATAATTGGCCTCTTGTCTTGCCAGAATAATACAAATGGCTCAACTCACACACATCTCCTGCAAGCTGAAAACTTGTGGTGTAAAGAATTTTTTGGAGTATTTTATGAGAACATGACATCCTACTGCTGCCCACATCAGTGAAGTGTTTTCTAACTCTACACTTGGAAAATGTTTTGTGCATGTTAAAAAAAGTGTTGCAAAGTTTAAGCCTGTTTTTAGAAGTCTTTTATGCTTCTAAACTTTGTGATTTGGCATTTAACAATAATAGTAGTTTCTTAGTGAATAACGACATTGTTTTGCAAAAAACATAAGACATTCAGCATTATCCTACTCTTTTCACAAAATGTGTTTCCTTCTTTATGCAAAAACTAAATTCTATGGCAATCTTCTACTGAAGACCATTATGCAGTTTTAAACCAACAGTTAACAATTAATGCTTGTGGACCTGTATCCTTCAGCACAAAAATAGTCTTTTAGTTTGAACGATGTGCAAATGAACAAATGATGTCAGTGATGAGGACCACCCAACAACAAATCAGCAACACTCAACTAATAAATAGACTGCAATTGGAATAGGTGCTACACTGCTTCATACTGGGCTCATGTATAGTTTTTCAAGTTTTTGTGATCAGGCATTTGAAGATTTTGATCAATGTGAATTAAAGATTGCTTATTGACAAGTGTGGTTTCTTCTTACTTAGACTACATCTGCAGAAAGTGCAGTTAAAATGGTTCTAAAAGTAGAAGAAACAAGTCGAGACTTTGAGAAAATTGTTGATACTAATGTCATACATACAGATTGTAATTCCAATTATGTCTAAGAATTTTCCATAGCAGTGTGTGCTCATTATCCCAACAGAGAAGTGGACAATAAGCTAATTCTTCAGTTATTTATATACAACATTTTTATATATATACTGTATTTCAACAGAAGTTCAGCAATTCTGATTTACAGTGATTCTGTAATCTGTGGTTGCAGAGGAAGGCATACACTGATACTGATTTAGAACTTCCACAACAGTTTAAGTGTGGTTTTATAGAAGTCTTGTCTTTAAAGGGAGGTTTTAATGAATGTCTGTCTCTGCTTCCTAGAAAGAAAAGGTAAGGATCTGATGCACCAAAATCGAAAACATTTGTTCAGTCTTAAATGTCTTTCCTTTTGTAAATGAGACGTTTAATCAGAAAAGCAAACAATGACTGATTGGTATACTAATTTCTAAAACAACAAACAAAAAGCAACAATTGATTTTACTATTCTTCAGTTTAACTGTTTAAGGCTGATGCTAGACAAGAGCAGATTTAGTTCAAAAGCAGACAACAATATTTTATAATTCCAATTTTTGAAGTTATCATAAGTTATCAAAAGAAGCACACCCTTTATACTCCACTTGAAATTGTTACTTGAAAAATAAATGATTATATCAGAACTCCATTAATTCCATGTGATTAACACTAGAGACATGGCACAGTACTGTTGAAAACGCACTATACCCTATATACAGTAGGGAGACCAGAGCCTGGGGAGACTGCAGGAATGTGGGAGGACTGGACTCACAAACACCACCTGCAGAACCGCCAGTGGAGGAGGATGTGTAGTTCCCCTCGTCCTCAGGGGCAGCTATAATGGAACAGACAAGGGGGTATGAGTCTGTTACTGTAACTAAGCATGTTCTAGTTTCTTTCTTCGGATGGAAGTATACTGTAGGTAGACCAATGAGAAGACCCACACTGGAATTTAGCCAAGACTACAGGGCTAATACCTCTAGGACCTGCGTTTAACGTTTCATCCCAACATTGGAATAATCATCTTGGTATTTCCAAGACCTCACAGCATTTAAAAGGGCTCCAATAAACTGTAATATTAGAAAAAAACAACAGAAAATAATTATTTATGGTTTTTAAAGATTTTGTAACTACGTATTCGGGTTGTATTTTAAAATATCGAACCCAGTGATTTATAAATCCAAATCAAATCAATTAATCCTACATGATGTGTGTGTTTGTAATCTCATATTAATCTTTAATAAACCAACTAAAAACCTCGCTCAAAAAGTTGACATTCCCGATCTTCTAAGATCGTGGAGATGCTGCCTTTACAGCTACAAGCAAAGTCTGGGGTTCCGTGTTTTCTCACGTAGGCAATAATGTACAGTATGTATTCGGTTATTCGGAATAAAACCACTTCTATTATCCTTCAACAACATTTCCCTATACCTACGATTTAACACTGTTCGTCCACAAGAACAACGTTCTCGTCACGCCTTCCTACTCTGTGTAGTCTGTCGCATTGTTAACGTCACTCAAGTGCGCCTGGATTAGGAAGAAGACCACTATGGATGATAAAGCGTTGGATCTTGTGAAGGTATAAAGATTTAGGTGCTTATTAATGTGCAGTTTTATTCTTTTGAGTGTTAAAGGCTTGCTCTTTTGGATTCAAAATTTATATTCGATGGGAATCTTTGTTAACAATATGTTACAGTGCTTTAGAACACATTGCTCCAGTTAGTGTAAGTGTAATTGAAAAACATGTTATTCTGATTGTTATTCTTAAAAAACACATTTAAAAATATATCGATCAAGGTTATAAATTACTGTAAAATAGGCTGTTGTTAGTTTGGACCGATTAAGGTTACCACCCGTTGTCATGCCTCAAATTATAACCATACACTTACATTTTAGGGTGTTGAGAAGTTATTTTTATTTTTACCAATAAAAACTGGTAGAAGTCTCTCAATCGATTGGATCTTGTGAACAACTGATAAGTACTGTATCAAGTTACGTCTTTGGGAAGTCAATCAATCAATCAGTCAATCAAAGTTGAATTATCAAATGCACAACAATACAGCATGCAGCAGTAGTTCCTGGCAATGAAATGTCTTTTCTACGACCTCACCGGGGGGGTGTAAAAATCACAAAATTAAGGTTACAAAAAATAAGGTTGCATAATAATAGATAACAATGTAATAGAAATTGAATAACATAAACAGACAAAACTCAATATAAATAGAGCTGCTATGTGTCCATGGTGTACGCAATAAATTATGTCCAAATAGTGCAGTATGCACAGAACACTGAAAACTGTGTGGCCATGTAGCCATTACAGGTGATTTGCTAAAGGAGCTGCAGGTTGGCTATTTAGCAGTCTTATTGCCTGGAGGTAGAAGCTGTTCCGTAGTCTGTTGGACTTGGACCGAATGCTTCAGTACCGTTTACCAGATGGTAGGAGAGAAAACAGTTTGTGACTGGGATGACTGGGGTCCTTCAGAACGGACCTGGATTTTTAAAAATATCTAGCTGAGTAGATATCCTGGATGTTTGGTAGCTCACAGCTGCTAATGAGCTGCCCTGACTTCACCACCCTCTGCAGTTCTTTGCGATCCCGGGCGGAGCAGTTCCCATACCAGGCAGTGATGTAACCAGTCAGGATGTTCTCAATAGTGCACCTGTAGAAGTTGGCCTGGATACAGTATGTGATGGCATGCCCAACCTCTTTAGCATGTGGAGAAAGAATAGGTGCTACCGTGGTGTTTTGACCACGGTGTTGGTGTGGTGGGTCCAGGTTAAGTCCTCTGTGATGTTAACTCCCAGGAACTTAAAACTTCTGACCCTCTCCACTGCAGTCCCATTGATGTAGATAGGTGTGTGATCTCCTCCCTGGTGTTTCCTATAGTCCACAATCATCTCCTTAGTCTTACTGATGTTCAGAGAGAGGTTGTTCTCCTGGCTGCCAGGGTTTCAACGTCCACCCTGTACGCAGACTCTTCACCATCTGTGATCATGCCGATGACTGTTGTATCGTCCCCCAAGTCTGTGATAATATAGATTGATAAACTTATATATACCTTATATAAACCTTATTAAAAAAACTATTAAACGGTAATACCTGCTTGTTAATTAAGCAACATTTTAAAGTTACGCAAATTTTATGTTGAGTTCGTAAGTACTCAACCTAATTTTTGACTTAACCCTGTCCATCATAGTCCTTAACCTTTCTTAGTATGTTAATTTATAATTCAGTGCTAGTTTAGTTCAGGTTAGGTCAGTTTATGGCCATTTTTAAAAGATATCCAGTCTATTAAAGGAAATATTTAATCAGTGCATATGAAATTCTGCCTGACAGGTTTGCTCTCACCAGTGGATGTCCCTACTTATTTAGAATATTATGTATGGAAATCTTCTTTAAACGTATATTGACAGTTGAATTAGTGTGGATAAGCAGAAGAATGATAGATCAGCTTTGATGATGCTTCAAGATCGGGAAAGCTGAGCACAGCAGATAATGCAGCACACAGCAAGCTGTCTGATGGGATGATATGTACAGAGACAAATCTGTACTGGGACAGTACAAGAGAAGCTAACATTAGCACATTACACTAACTACACTAGCACACTAACATTAACAAAACCCCATCTTTGCATATTGCAGTGTCCCAGTCATGAAAGTAGAATTTAGTTGATACAGAAAAATAAAGCTTTAATCCTCTAATACAGTGATTTTTGGTCCTGATTCTGGACTGCACCCTTGTCTGCTGGTTTCAGTCACCAGTACTAACTAGTGCTTGTAAATGGTCTGCTTGCTTCATCAGACTTTTTTCTTCCCTCAGCCTTTGGTTTCATTATTTCCAGAAACAGCAGCACACAAACGTTTATGCAGTCTCTTCTCAACCCGTAAATTAGGAATTGTCTCCTTATATCTCTCCTCAACTTGCTTGCCATTCTTTCTGGTGCAACAGCTGAGTTGATGATGAGCAGACGTATGTGGAAACAGTACTGTATCAGACAGCTCTCAAATTGAGTAGGTGTTTTCCCCTGTGCTCAAGTCCCATTAGTTATAGTCCATCTAGCACACCTGAATGATAAGGACTTTGGCCCAGTTGGCTTTTTGAGAACTTAAATCAAATTTAAAATGGCTTGAAATAGCAAATTGAAGTAAATTAACCTGTCATTAAGTGGAAGCCAGGAAGCCAACCTTTTTGGTAGCATTTGATGTGTATATCTCCTTTTTTATTATACAAGAAAAATTGGATGGAATTCCATTTGAATGACCCTCACATATCAGCATATTTTTACACCTTTTTTTACACCACTTTATCATTTTATCTTGCTGTATGGGACAGTATAATGGTTAGTGATATTTCTGATTATTTCACATGAGTATGTAAAGTATTTGTGCACACATTTTCTAAATAGGTTGCACTGAGCCGTGAGTGAAAACCAATTGTGTTTGCATCATACCATTTTGAGACACTTGGTCTCTGTATTGTATTGTCTATGTATGGTAAATCAGGTGTATTCTCTTTAATGCTTCAAAAATACTTGCATCAACATATTTCTAAGCTCTTACATATTGAGTACTTCATATTGCATACTTCAATATGATCAGTATAATCTAAATCATGTGAGAATAATTAAGTATAAAACCATCATGGTAAGACATTCGATCACACAATTTTCCCTGCTACAGTGTGTGAATACATTCACATTACAGAAATTTGCTTTTCCGTTGATGTTGAGAAAGCTTGCCTTGTAAGGTTTAATTGTGTAAATTAAAAAATTAAATTATTGTACAATAATTAGTTTCTGTAATATCATTAGTTGCAATGTGGTTGGTAGTACTAAAGTAATTTGGATTCTTACGCAATATTTATTTTTGTGTGTGAAAGATATATTAAAGCATTTAAAGCTCACACAGACTGCAGGGTGAGGGCCACCAGTTGTGAGTTGCAGAGTGATATGGCTGCTGGCAACCCACTGAAGCAGGTCAGTACCTGGATGGGAGACCTCCTGGGAAAAACTAATGTTGCTGCTTTAAGAGGTGTTAGAGGGGCCAGCAGGGGGAGCTCACCCTGCGGTCTGTGTGGGTCCTAATGCCCCAGTATAGCGACGGGGACACTATACTGTAAACAGGCGCCGTCCTTCTGATGAGATGTAAAACCGAGGTCCTGACTCTCTGTGGTCATTAAAAATCCCAGGGCGTTTCTCGAAAAGAGCAGGGGTGTAACCTGGGCTTCCTGGCCAAATTTTTTCATTGGCCCTCACTAATCATGGCCTCCTAATAATCCCCATCTATGAATTGGCTTCATTACTCTGCTCTCCTCCCCACTGATAGCTGGTGTGTTGTGAGCGTTCTTGCGCACTATGGCTGCCGTCGCATCATCCAGGTGGATGCTGCACATTAGTTGTAGTGGAGGGGATCCCCATTACCTGTAAAGCACTTAGATTGGAGTATCCAGAAAAGCGCTATATAAGTGTAAGCAATTAATTAATTATATGTTCCTTATCTTTTACTCGGCACAATAATATTGTATGATACACAATATTTCTTCATACAGAAGTGGAAACCAGAATAGGTAAACATTTTTAATGCTTTGTTTTTACCTTTAGCTGAAAGCTTTGATAACTTCTTATGTTCCTTTTCACAGGAAGCACAAGAAAAGCATATCAATATTTTGAAACAACCTTTGTGCTGTTTGTTTAAACAAGCCCTGTAATATATATTGAACCATTGAAAGAAATGCTGAGGTCTCCACAAAGATTTAGAAGTTCTATTTAATCAGCATCTTCCATTTGCAGTCCGTGGGTTGCATTAATCATTTTAAAAGCTTGAGCCAAAACTTAAGCGCAAGGGGAAGACTTATAATCTGCACAGCATGAGGTTAGCCCCAATTGATCAAGAAGGAGAATGTTCCTGTCACACCGGAATCATTCCTGATGCAGTTTTTAAAGGCTGTGCAGTAAAAATAGCTTTTTAATAGTGTCATTGAACACACTCTAGGGAACATCACAGATTAGAGTGTCTGTGATTTGCATGAATTTGTGCCGGATATTGCAAATCTGTCCTAGAATTACATATCTTGTGGAAGAGCGTACTCTGGCATTTCAAATCAAGTTTAAGACAGTTAACGGTCCTTTTTTGACATTAATTTTCAAATATATCAGCAGTTACATGCTTGATAGATTGCATGTACAGATCACAGTGGGTGTGCCATTTCATTATCTCTGAAAGCCTTTACCCTCAAAGAGCTGTTAAAACTTCATTACTCTTCCAGAGCTTCAACCTCAGTCTTAACCATAATCCTGACATTCAGGCCAGAAGGTCATGAAAGTGATGATCCACCCAAGCAAGTGAGTTTGAAACTCGAGAGGATGGGTTTTAGTTTCCCGTCGTTTGCTGAGGTGTTCATTCAAGAGCAGGGTCACCTAATTAAGCCTGAGCAGATTTTGTTGTTTTCTGTAGATCCCATTGTAGACACATGCAGAATATTTATTCTCTATGAATTGTAAGTGCTGGTCTAAAAATCTTCACAAAGCTCTGGATTTACATGCAAGCTAGAGAGGACATTGGGGTTTCAGACCACTGGGATTTTGGGGGCCCCACCGGTGGATCAAAGTTCCTTTTGCAGTTGAGTGTTCAGCACCATTGTATCAGGTTTACAACACAAACGTCTTTGGTAGAGATATATGACACATGGTTTCTTTTTAGAGACAGAACCATACCTTTTTAATGCAGGATTAGTTTAATGAGTTACAGCGGTGTGATAAGTGAATCATTTGTGGATTAGTGCTAAACTCTATACCTCATTCTGAAACAATGTGGTGAGCATTAATATCTTCTGTTTCTCCCCCGAACTCGCTCTATTTATAATCAAAGGCCGCAGATGAAAAAGCAGGACAGAGACAGTGTAATTAATAAATCTATTCCAGGTGCATGGAGTTGGAGGTTATGACTCAGACTTCAGTGAAGATGAAAGCCAAGGAGAAAAAATACAGTATGAACAAAAAAGGTATGACTTTGAGTTACGCTTGATCGATCTCTTAGAAGATGACTGCACAATTTTAAAATGAATTTCCTCAGTCTGTTTTATCAATACATTTCAAGGCCGTACGGGTCTGTTTGTCTGCATGGCGTCAAGGAGATTCTGATAGTTTCATAATTTACTGCGTTAGCAAAATAAATGTAGGAAACCTATCTGTGCTTAAGTATCCAGTTACTTTTTTATTTTGTTATATTGTCCGAGTTTCTGGAACCTGCAGCTGTATTGAGACTGATTATGGGCGACTGCCTTTTCCATTTGTTAATTAACACACGGTACAGTGTCTCACTAAAATAAATTGGTTCCCTAGGGATTAACATTGAGATTACTGTTTAGTTCAATTTACGTTCGTCTGAACGTGATGTTTTTCCAGTTTGCTGTGCTTTGTTGCAGAATGTGTTCAAGGTTTATTCCTCATCTGTAACACGGTTAACTCATCAGCCAGCTGCTTTGTTCAGTGTTGTGGGTCTCTGGTTATGTTTGTGTCATGGGTCCTGTTCATTTACAATGTGAATTGCCTACTTTTGTATCATCCAGTTTGGTATTGAAAGCCCAAGTTTAATCGATTTATGTACAGTTCATGTTTGCTCTGGAGAAACTGTTCTTTCTCTGAGGTTTCAGAAGAATAAAATAACCTTAAGAACAGAAATTCTGCAAACAGCTTGGAAGATACTTATAAAGAAGACAATGGAGAAAATTAGCACTGTCATAGGACTTGTGTGCTCTGCAGTTTGGACTTGCATACCATATCGCCACAGGACAGCGTGTGCTCAAACAGTGCAGATTAAAAGGTCAGCTCAGTTGCTTACTCACACTTGAAACATTGTAAAAATACCACGTAAAGCAGAGGCAGAGTCACGTTTCAGTCTCACCCGATCTCAGCTCTAAAGGTCTCATTTCCCTGACCTAAACTCACGTTACTCCCCTCCAGTGCCAAACCATATACAAATACCAGCAAGGTAAATAGAAAAAAAAATTAAGTTGGACATTTCATCATTTATTAGTGATGCTAAAGTAACTATATAGATTTCATATAGATTTGTATCTATAAATATTTGTCTTGCAAGGAACGTCTTTCTGAATTCCGAGTCAAAAGAAAAGCAGATATTCAATATAATGTATTAAAAGAAGTAGTCTGATGGGTGGAACACACTACTTTAAGTATCTTAAAGGATCACCGGACTGTCTTTCCTATTAGTGTAACTATTTTACTTAATTTTATTTAGACTATTTTACTTAAGGATTCTTTCTCTGTATAATGTGGCCCCGACAGTGGTAGTTTTAGTGTATGTGAAATATTGTCTTCTTTATTTTGCTTATTCTTCCCCTGGACCGCAAGTGAACTTTGCTCCATGAAGGCGGTAGAACAAAATCTGTAGACGAATAAACAACATCGGCAGTTCTGTCGGTACAGGGGTATCTTTATAGGAATGCCCATAATACACCAGATCTGTTCTCATCATATTGAGAGAGCTTACAGTAGTCCTACAGTTTTTTTCATCATCAATAAAATTAAGTCTGATTTTAATCTAAAATTAAAAGGTTCATCAAAGAACATTAAATCTGCTTTTCCTCCCTCTACCAAACACATGCAAGGTGATATATGCAAATCTTTCACAGCAAAATACACAGTATTAATACCCATCAGTTGACCTCACCTCTAGCAGTCATGGCAAATGAGACCTGCTACCTGAATTTTGCATTCCCATGCCTCTACTCACAGCTAGCCTCTCTGCTCTTTGTCCTTATGTAATGACCTCAACAGTAAGTCTCTGAAGTCTGGTCTTGTGCCTGGAGGTTTAAAGTCTAAACACACCTGTGTTAATAAATCTTGACCAGGACTGTGAAGTAGTAGACAGCTACTGTCCTATGTCTCTCACAGAAATTCTGGAATGTGCAGTAGCAGCTCAAAAACGGTCTCATCTTACATCTAATGAGCTGTTTGAATATTTGAACTAAGGGTTAAGACAAAGACACACTACTGAAATAAACCCTGTTAAGGTATTTCATGATTTTTTTAATGGTTTCTGGGTGTGGGTTGCCTGATATCCTTCCGGTCAACTATTAAAGATGTCACTCTTTGATAAGAACAAGAACACAGCTCTGCAGTGCAGCAGTAAGGAGAAATACATTGTGTGACTAGCACCTGTAAGCAGTGTTTAACCTTGTAATTTTAGATTCCGTAAAGATGACCCCCTTCTGCAGAAGGCATTTCAGAGAGAAAAGCATACTAAGCTTGCCCACAGGAATGTTGCGGCACAGGAATGGGATCGGTAAGTCTTACATGCAGTGGTGCTTCCATGTGGGAGTGGAACATCCATGTTCAAAGTACACTGTAAAAATCACACACTGTAAACTGCTGAATGTGGTTGATCGAATTTGAATTTCTAATTTCACAGGGAAGAAGCAAGGAACAGGCGTCACCACCTGATTTCAATGAATGCCGTATCCTTTCACTCTGGACACTGCAGCGAACATAAGAAAGGTTATGAAAGAGGATAGACCATCCGACCCATCAAGCTTGCTTGCTAGTAGATAGAGAGGCTCTCATTCAGACGTTTCTCGAAAGGTATCGGCTTTATCAACATGTCTGAGTCCCCCCCCCGAGTCCACTTGTTGCTGCTGTAAAAATGTTTACTAATGTAAGTCATTTTGGTTGTCGGCCCAGATTAGTGAGTGGTGCAGTCTAATTCAGGGGTCATCATCTCTGGTTCTGAAAAGCTCCAATAACAGCTAGTCTTATACTGTGTATCACCTATTTTTTTTTTAAGATTGGCCATACTTGTAAGCTATTGATGAATCAAGCAAGTAATTTGTTGTATTAAGAGAACTCTAGTCCTTGAGTGCTGAAGACTGTTTAGATTTTAGTCCAAAATGATCTGTAAATTAGCTAATTTAACAAATCACCTGTTTCATTGATCACAGTGGAGTTGTTTCTTATCTTTTGAAATTGGAGGTTTAAAGGTGACCCCCAAGACCTGCTGGACTGGGGCTTTCCAGGACCAGGGTTGGACAGCCCTGGTCTAACTTAAGTGCGCTAACCTCTCACTTTCATTGTTGTGTGTGCCGTTCTGAAAGCCTTAGAGACTCAGCTTTGCAGAAACACATTCGTAAGATGCTGCAGCCCTGGCTGTTTCAAAACATTGTGAGGTTAAGACGAGCAGCACCCTGTATTCTTCAAGGGAATTTCTGAATTTATGACAGCAGTGGAACTGGTTGATACATTTTACTTCATCTTTCCATTCGGCTCACATTTGTGTTTTTTTCCCCTCTTGATCCATCATGAATCATAGGGTGGATTTCACAACAGATGGCATTGTTCTGTCTAGTGTGTGTCACACTGTTTTCACTTCATTTATTGGATTATCTCATCTGTTAGATTAGCTCTCTCCAAAGAAACAAATGGCTTTGCATTTTATTTTGCTGGGTTATAACGCAAGTATGTGGTTTCACTTACATTTTTTTACAGCTTGTTCATGAAAAACATAAAATATTATGAGACAGATGTGTGTTCCATGACATAATATCCTGTAATTGCATTTCTGAAAACAATAGCTGTTGGAAATAAATTCAAAACAATCACATATAATAATTCCAAGAAAATCCTAGTCGGTTTTTACCTGCTAGGAACAATGAAGAGAGACCTGATTGCACATGATGAGCTAGAAAAAATGCTTTCTCTAGCAAAGTGCCTTTTATGATGTAATGCCTGAAATATATTTATGTATGTGCATCTTTAAGGACCGCAAGATGAAGCATGTCTTAAAAATGAATTAATTGTCAGTAAATGTAACAGAATGAAAGGGTTTGCTGTATTATATCGTGTGTGGGCTAAAAGTCACAGAGCTATCTGTACAAGCTACTGTACCTATTTCTTAACTATTTTGAATATGATCAAATACAGTATGTAGTGACAAAAGAAGTCACCTGTCTTGTGGATGCTGTATGTCATCATAATTTTGTGATAGATGTGAAATATTGTGACTAGTTATAGTGTAGTTTCACTAGAACTGCTTTGCCTGCCTGTTTTATAGTTATTTTGTCTTTAATTAACTGTTATCCAGTATGACAGACATAAGAAGTTTGTGAGTGACTATATATTGTATTATGGTGGCAAGAAGGAGGATTTTAAACGTTCAACGTAAGTATAACTTCTCAAGTATTTGTGCACGTTCCTGTTTTGAGTAAAGCTCATGGGATGAAAGACACTATACTGTATAAATGCAAGCTGGTATTATTGATGGCAGGTTTCCATTGGACACAAGCAAGCAGCTTCTAACAAATAGATTGCTTTGTGAACTGTGTTTAGAATTCTGCCCAGCAGCTTTGTCAAAAAGTTGATTTAACAGAGTCCTTTGTAGTAATGACCTCTGGTTGGACTATCAACTTTGTGGTTATGAACAAATGTCAATTTTTTTCTTTAATCCAGTTGCAGTATAAGACTGGATATAGTTTTGGATTAGGTGCATGTATTATGGTGAAATAATACTAAATCTGTAAAAAGGGACTGATTTATCAAATTTGGTGTTTGTTTGGTAATTCACTGTTATTGTATGTTCATAATCTTTTTTTAGGGCAAATGATAAAACGGATGTAGATGTGCTGAGAGAAAACCATCGTTTCTTATGGAGAGAGGAGGATGAAGAGGATATGACATGGTAAACCAGCTGAGTATGAATCTCAGAATAGAGTGCCTGAAGGGAAGCAATGATTGTTGATTGATTAGTGGAAACGTTCCAACACAATTTCATTGATTTTGTTTTCTGAAGACATATGCATACAGTGCAATATGGTGGAAGATATTCATCCATTTCTTTTTAGGAATCCAAGTGGAAATAGATTGGAAGTTGGTAAATTATATCTAAGACCTTTTCAAGTTTGCACCTTTGTGTGATATTTTTTTAACAAACCAAAGATAATGGGCGCTTTAAGAAATGCATCCTGTCAAGCAAACCAAGTCTAAAGATGTTTGAGAAATAACTCCAAATTTAGTAGATCGAAATGTATTACTAATAGGATGAATCTATGTGAAAAGTACATTACTGCTACAATCCACGTGGCTTCTTGACAACCATTTTAGTTTCTTCTTTTTTTAATGACAAGAAAAAAACAAAGACACACAAATATACATACAAATAGAGGAAAGAAAGACATCCACTGACAGAAAAAAAAGTACTCAAATATTAATATTTAAATATCTTAAGAAAGCTTAAAAATAAAATTTTCTTAATTTCCATGCCACTAACCCTTACTGTTTAAAAATGTTTAACCAGTTAACTCCAAACATTTAACTCCTGCATCCACCAAGATAACTCCTTGACAACCATTTTGTTTTCGCATCTGAAGCTGCCTTTGTCTTGGAAACTACTGCACACCATGACACATGAGGCAGATTCATGAACAGCCAAAGCTGCGTCTGATTTACACCTCACGAGTTGTAGCAGTAGTATTCCTATTTGGCGAAACACGGCCT